CACCTAGAGGGCAGCTCCCACTGCAGTGTGCACCCCCAGGGGAGGTATGAGGGGCATGTGCCCCTGGATCTGTGTGCAGGGTGAGGATGGGCTGCTCACTGTGGGCTGGGGCTGGAGGCTGTGCTGGGCTCTTCCCAGCAGGGGGGCTAGACTGAGGCTGCGCTTGGGCTAGGCAGGGGTGGGCAGACGGTGGCACTGGGAAGTGGGGCTACAGCCACCCCAAAATTTGCTGTAGCCACCTTTCCCAGTGCCGCCACCACCACCCACACCACTCCACCTGGCCCAAGCACAGCCCTGGTCCAGCCCCCGCCTCCCCCCACCCCCCCGGGAAGAGCCCTGTGCAGCCTCAGCCCACAGTGGGCAGCCCACCCTCACCCTGCACACAGATCTGGGAGGCACACACAGTCCGTGCGTCTTCCAGGGGTGTGCACAGCAGTGGAAGCCACTCCCTCTCCCCACCCCCTGCACCCTCCAAATGAGCCATAGCTCCACCCCACATCCTGCTTTGCCTGGGCAGCACCTGCCCCAGCTCCATTTCCTCCCTCACTGTGGAGGCCTTGATCTGCACCTCTTTGCCCCCCCCCCCGACTTAGTGGCTGGATGCCACTCTCCACACCGCCAGGCTGCGTTCTTGGTCTTGTGCATGCTGTAGCTGATAAATGCATTCCCATGGCATTTATCAGCAGCATTATTGGTCACTTCAGCCAAAAAATGCTGATTGCCCATAACGTCAATTTTCCTTTTATCAGTGCCAATACAATATGGACTGATAGCGCACCTCCAAAACCAACCTTATCTCCAGGCTCATTGCACAGCCTCTTCTCAAATGTTGTTCCTGTAGCCTTTCCCACACATCCCACAAGGATGGTGCTCTTAGCAGTGACCCTTCCCTCTCTCCACGCACAGAATGACCAAGGCACAACAATGACTTAATTCAGTCCTGGGCCTCTCACTGAGCGTAGTTGGGTACATCTTCTGTGTAGCGATTCTGTGATCCAAAATGATCACTGAGGGCTGGATTAGAGATAACAGGTTCTTTCACTTGTCACCAAAATCCTGCCTGGATTGGATGATAAGCTTGGGCACTCAGCCACCAACCCCCAGTGTTTAAAATACTTTGAAGGTTCAAACTGACATCTATCAGATGCAGAGTTTCTCATCAAGCAAATGAAAGCAAAGCCTAACGAATCCCAATATGGACCTCTACAGCATTTGCCTAGAATGATCTCCAGATACCTGCAGAAGTTAATTCTTACAAATCCTCCCCATCCCAAGGGAACTGATTATAACTTACCAACATATGGGGAAACTGAGACAAGGAGAGGGGAAATGATTTGCCCAAGGTCATGCAGGACGTCAGTGGCAGAACTAGGGATACAGCTCAGAATGCCTGCCACTGGCAATGCACTGATACATCGGTCCATATCGTATCAGCACCAATAAAAGGAAAACTGACATTATCAGTAATAGGCTTTTTGTGGCCGATAATGTTGCCGATAAATGCCATGTGCCTGCACACAGCCACAGCATGGGCAGGGCCAGGAATGCAGCCGAGCAGTGGGAGACCAGCATCCAGCTGGAAAGTCTGTTGGGGAGAAGGGGCAGGGGGAGGGAACGGGCATGGGAGGGGGCAGATCGAGGCCTCTGCACTGGGGCTGCACTGAGCTCTTCCTGGTGGGGGGCTGGGCCAGGGCTGCACTCAGAGAGGGTGATAGCAGCACTGGGGGTGGAAACAACAGTCACCCCAAAAATTTGCCATGGCCTCCCCTGACCCTGCCAGTACTGCTGCTGTCCACCCCGAGCACAGCCACAGCCCAACTCCCCAACCTGGAAAAGCCCTGCATCACCTGACCCCAGACCACAGCAGCACCCCACCCACACACAGATCTGGGGAGCACACAGCCCCCGTGCCTCCCCCAGGGGTGCGTGCAACAGTGGGACTTGCCCCCCATGCCCCTGGCCCCCCAAGCGAACCGCTTACAGCCCTGTCCCATGCCCTGCCCCACCCTGGGTGTGCAGGGCCTGCCCCTACCCCAGCCCCACTCCCTCCCTCACCACAGGGGCATCAATCTGCCCCCCAGTGCCACTTTCCTCCCCTCTGCCCTGCACACAGATCCAGGGGGCACACACGCCTATGCTTTCCCCAGGGCTGTGAGCAGCAGTGGGATCTGACTCCCTTCTCCCTGCGCCCCCTGGATGAGCCACCTGTGGCTCTGTCCCACACCCCACCCCACCCTGGCTGGGCAGTGCCTGCCCCTACCCCAGCCCCAATCCCTCCCTCACCA